AATGACGAGTTAATGGGTGCAGCACACCAACATGGCACATGTATACATATGTAACAAACCTGCACGTTGTGCACATGTCCCCTAGAACTTAAAGTATAATAATAATAAAAATAGTAATCAAGAAACAGAAAAAGGTGGTCCAAATTATTTAACAAAAAAGCACTAGGAACTGACACAAATTTAAAGGAGATATATTGATTACCTACTAGAAAATTCAATGTAAACCTTATAAATATATTCATTGAGCTAGGAGAAGAATTCACAAACAATGTGAGAATATTAACAGAGACAAAAAAGGGAGAGAGATGAGATACAATGATTTGTGGCTTACCAGTAGGGATATATTGTCCAGGTGCAGTGGCTCACACCTGTACTCCCAGCACTTTGGGAGGCCAAACTGGGTGGATCACCTAGGTCAGGAGTTCAAGACCAGCCTGGGCAACATGGTGAAACCTCTTCTTTACTAAAAAAGAAAAGAAAAAATAGCTGGGCATAGTGCTCCATGCCTGTAATCCCAACTACTCGGAAGGCTGAGGCAGGAGAATCGCTTGAGCTTGGGCAGCGGAGGTTGCAGTGAGCCAAGATTGTGCCACTGCACTCCAGCCTGGGTGACAGAGTGAGACTAAAAATAAAAATAAAAATAAAAAACTGTAAGGATACATCTGAGCAATGTGTCCTTCAGCACTTTTGTCAGTGTGCAAGGATCATAGAGCGTGCTTACACAAAGCTACATGAAATACCCTGCTACACCCAGGCTGTGTGGGAAAGCATAGTGCTCCTAGGTAACAAATCTGTACGTCTTGTAAGTGTAGTGAATACTGTGGGCAGTTGAACCACCATAGTAGATGTTTATACAGATGAACATATCTAAGCATGGAAAAAATGCAGTGAAATACAATATTATAATCTAATGAGACCTTTGTCCTGTATGTGGCCTGTTGTTCACTGAAATATCATGATGTGCACGATTCTATTCAAGTTGCTGAAAATAAAAACAAAGCCAAAAAACTTCCAGGTAAATGTATTACACTGGTTAAAGCTTTTCTTCAGTAATGCAGGATGTTTGAGAAGTTTCCCAAAAAAGCAAAAAGTGGACAAGTTCATCACCACTAGACCTGCCTTAGAGGAATGCCACGTGTCTCTGGTAGGTTCCCCGAGCAATGAAGTAGCTGCATCTGCTCCACTCTGGCATCTGTCTTTTGATAGATTTGTGTAGGTTTATTTTCATTTATCCTATGTTATTTCCTTCTATAAATTCCATCACCCTTCCCTTCGTAATTCTGTCTACTAAAGCAACTCATATTTAACTGAACATGCTGGGGTCATTGGAATAAATTTCTATTTTTCCTCCACCAAATCTAATGAGCTGTCTCCAGGGGCATCCATCTCCATTTTCTTTTCTGCCATTCCCATGGGATAATTTCCTTGTTCCTACATGAGTCCAGCCCTCATCTTCACATACATGAACTATCCAACCATCACACACCCAGGAACATCTTCAGGAAATGGAAGCTGCCAGCTGCCTATCAGCCTCCACCTGCACACTGATCATTCCTTCAGCTTTCACTCACGCTGGAGGGCTTTCCACCCAAAAGGGCCTTTCACACCCACTCCCAGTACAGTGCTGGGACCCTGTACACCTTCCAGATACAGGTACATATCCATGCCCTTTGTTGTTAATTTTGTTTCATTTATTTAAAATTCACTGGGAAATCACTGATGATGGGAGTGACCAGCCTGTCCATTCCCTTTCTGTCCACCGCCTGACAGAGCCACCTGTGCGGTTGACCACCCTAGTGTGCTGTGCTGACGGGGCCATCTGGACACACATAAACACCAGATGTGTGAGTTATTAGAGGAGCCCAGGGTCAGCAGGTGACTGTGCCCCACAGGACACAGGTCTGTCCTGCAGTAGAGCCTGCATGACCTGGAATTGTACGTGTGCATGACCCGTGGTCTCAGCAGATCAGCTGAGGTCAGCTTCAGGCAATTCCTGTGTAACCTGCCCTGGGCGCCCACAGAGGACAGATGCATGACAAGGATGTAAGGGAATGATGTGGGTTAGGGGAAGTGATGTTCAATTTTTATTGAGGCTCTACTCTGCACCTGGACCTTATGGAAGACTACGAAGAAGAGAACAAGAGTCCAGCCCCCAACAGCTCCTGGTTTAGGGTCAGCTTTAGTGGGATTTTAGAGAGTAGAAGATACAGGGATGATGCTGGAGTAGTTTTCTGTGGGATACTTTGGGGGAAGCAGAAGGTGGGCAGGAATCAGGATTCCATCTGTCTGGTTCTCATTATCTACATGGATTCCCATAGTGGAAAGTGAGAGACATGACCTAGAACACAGGCCCCAGGGCTGATATCAGAGATGCCTGCTAAGTAAATGACTCAGCAGATATGTGGTGGGGTTTTCTTCTTGGATCTATTTTTCTTTATAAAAATAATTTGAGAGATGTGTCCAGCCTTGGTGGGCTGCTTCTCCCTCCAGGAGACGGAGCTAACACAATTGTATCTGTGAATCTGCTTGGCTTTCCATCAGAAGATACCACAGACTAGATTGTTTCAAATAACAAATACTAATTTTCTTACTGTTCTGGAGTCTTGAAGTCCAAGATCTAGGTGCAGAAAGGGTTATATTTTTGAGAGGCCTTATCCAGGCTTGCAAAGGGCCAGCTTCTCATGCAGTGCGTCCTCACATGGCCTCTCCTCTGTGTGCATGTGTAGAGAGAGGTATCTGATGTCTTCCACTTCTCATAAGGAGAAGAGTCCTACTGGATTAGGGTCCCACATTTATGGCCGCGGTTAACTTATTTGCCATTTAAAATCCCTCTCTCCAAATACAGAGCCACTGGGATTGGGGTTTCAGCATATGAACTGAAGAGTAGGACACGATGCAGTCGATGACGCCAATCAAGGGATGGTGAGAAGCCTTAGAATATTTTGCTTGTCAAGAAGGTAAAATGGGCCTTATGGGAATTTGTTGAAAAAAAGGTGCCAGTGACTATTAAAAGCTCAATGGTAAACAGGGAAATTTCTCCCTCTTTTCTTGCCTGTAGCAAGGATGTGAGGAGGTAGAACCACAGATATCAAAGAAAGAGGAGCCCTGGGGACAGCTGAGGTGCTGGTGAGGAGGGAGAGCACTGAGCAGATGAGGAAGCCCCGCCCTCCCTGCACCTGCTCCTGACCCGGCCTCCTGCTCTGTGGGCCCCGCGCGCCCCCTGCTGGTCCTGAGCGGCACCTGCGCCCGCCCCCTCCGCCTCCCTGCAGGGAGGTTTGTGTCTGGGCTCACACTCACCTCCCCTCACTGTGTCTCTCGCACAGTAATACACGGCCGTGTCCGCGGCGGTCACAGAGCTCAGCTTCAGGGAGAACTGGTTCTTGGACGTGTCTACTGACAGGGTGACTCGACTCTTGAGGGACGGGTTAAGGTAGTTGCTCCCACCACTACCATAGATAATCCCAATCCACTCCAGCCCCTTCCCTGGGGGCTGGCGGATCCAGCCCCACCAGTAACTGCTGATAGAGCCACCAGAGACAGCGCAGGTGAGGGACAGGGTCTCCGAAGGCTTCACCAGTCCTGGGCCCGACTCCTGCAGCTGCACCTGGGACAGGACCCCTGTGAACAGAGAGACCCACAGTGAGTCCTGGGATCAGAGACAGCCTCCCATACCGTCATATCTGCATCCCCGAGACACTCACATCTGGGAGCCGCCACCAGGAGGAGGAAGAACCACAGGTGCTTCATGTTCTTGCACAGGATGTCCGTAACTCTCAGAGAGCATTTCCCATGTGAGCAGGAGCCTGAATTTAAGGAAATGTGTAGTGGTTTCCTGTGGGTGCCTAAGTGAGGATTTGCATGTGGGTGGTGCCTTTGTATAAAAAGGTGAAAAGGGATGAGGGAGGTCCCAGTCTTTTAGGCTCACCCTGGGATGAGGATGCTAGTTTTGCCCTTTGAGAACTCAGTTCTCTTCCTGGGACCTCAACTTGCCATGTCCTGGCTCCTCTTTTTCCAGGTGAGGAAGTAGATTGGAACAGCAGTTTAACGTAACGATCATGTGAGTTCAGACACACCAGGATTCACTTAATGTAATTTATAGTTCAGGACATCCATCATGTTTAGAGGGAATCTCTCTGTTCTAGGGAGTGGGCCATTTTTAAAAAATTTTTAAATTAAATAAAATTTATTTTTTTAGATGAACTTTCACTCCTTTGGCCAGGCTGGAGTGCAGTGGCCCGATATTGGCTCAACCTCCGCCTCCTGGGTTCAAATGATTCTCCTGCCTCAGCCTGCCGAGTAGCTGGGAGTACAGGCACGCACAACCACCCCTGGCTAATTTTTGTATTTTTACTAGAGACAAGGTTTCACCATGTTGGCCAAGCTAGTCTCAACGTCCCGACCTCAGGTGATCCACCCGCCTTGGCCTCCCAAAGTGCTGGGATTACAGACCTGAGCCACCATTTTAACTCAAGCACTGGGAGCTGCCCTCTGAGACCTTTTGAATCCTAGAATTCTTTCTGAGACCTTAGGAAAAACTCGTGGGACATATCAATGTGTGACCCTGAGGATGTGCCCTGATCTCGGTACACTTCAGTGTGAAAGAGTAGATTGTGAATTGCAGTGAAAATTTCATTTGTAAACTCTATAATAGGTCAGCACTGGAGGATAGTCTCATCACCAAGATTACTGCAGTTACCTTTCCTGGAAACCAGAGAGGAACAATGTGACCCCTCACCTCTGAGAGCACGAGGAACCCTGGTCCTGTCTGACAGGCCACACATGTGACATGGGGGAAGACAGAGACATTCAAATCCAGTGTTTTCACCCATATATTGACCAAGCTAGCCTGATCTGTCTGTCTCTAAAAAGCCTTTTTCTTAACTGAATTGCATGAACATACCCTTGGGTATGGGGTATTGCAATGTGGGTATTTGGTATTTGTTTAGTGAATTATATAATTAACAGGCTACCTCCATGAATGTGTGTAACAGGAGAGTCATCAGAAGTTGGATGAGTCATAGTATCAGGACAAACCTGGACTCTCTTCTTGGCACCTGGACAAGTGGCCAATCTTCTGTGGGAAAGCAAAGGGGAAGAGACAGACCCAACACCCAGAAACAGGGTAGCTCCTCACTTACCAGCTGGTGTCTGGGCCTTTGGTTTGAACAGATGCAAAAGGAGCTGCCCTCACCTTCAGAGAAATGATGAACTTGGTATGAAATGGAGATTATTTTTCACTTACAGAGGAGGAAATGCCATAGACCTGTATATATCTATGTGGGTGTGTACGGGTTTCTTTCTAGGATGTGCTCATACACAGAAAGGGAGCAATTATATTTGCTGGAAAGAGAACCAAAGAGCTTATGAATTTGTAGGTGTTGTTAACCACACACGTGTCAGGTCACTACACCATGTTATAATGCTGGCAGTAAAACCTCCCAACATTGTCATGGAGACAAATGCAAAGAAATAAAGATTCAGATCAGATGCCTTTGATCCGTAATGAACAGACCAAGAGAAATCAACCATTATGGAAAGAGTGATAGTTAAATGTAGCAATAATTCCATCCTGAGGTGAGAGGGAAGTGCCATCTGACAGCTCATTTTCACGTCTGCAAAGGCTTCAGAGCACAGACTAAGAGTAGAGTGTCAACTTAGGGCAAGTGGGGGCCAGATGTTTGAGGAAGATAGAGAGTGAGCTGGAGTCCTTGTGAGCCATTCGGAGAAGCAGCAGTATGCCAGGGTGTATTGAGTCCTCCTGAGTTAACAGGTGCTCAATAGATACCAGTTTCACTGCCCTAATTTTGTTTTATCCTCAAGACTCTCTTGAATTTCCAGATTTGAACCTGGAAATGTTGATGAAACTCAGCATGACTAGGAATATTTCAGGGAAGATTTATGTTATGATGTAAGTGTGGTTAAAATTAGGTTATGAAAATTTCATTATCTAAAATGTTAGTGTCAGTATCTATTAATTTGCTCTTCTTTTTTTCTTTTTATTAGAGACAGGGTCTTGCTGTGTCTCCCCAGTTGGAATGCAGTGTCATCTATGAATTTTGTAGTATAAAAATGATCACCCTGATTAATGTTACCCTATTATCCCCTTGAGGGATTTAGGTCCATGTGTGCCTGTGACATAGTTCTAGTCACAGATACAGGAGAGGTGGTCTGTTGAGGCAATTCTTCCTCCTCAGAGGAGAATATAAACGATCATCTCCTCTCCTTGCTTATTCCATTTTCAGAATTGCATACGATCTTTGGGAACGCTGTTGCCATATCTTACATGATGGGAGTCGACTGTGGCATGAAGGTGGAATGGAGATGTGTAATTTTGGAAAATACAGAACCTGGGCACATAAAGTTTTGAATTAACTGGGCCTGGAGCCACTCACATCCTGGCATCTGGTTCAATTGTTTGTCATTTTAAATTCTGGTTATTTAGTTGAAATTTCCTTGATTCCCTTTCTGCTAAAATATTCATTCGTAATCATCTAAATAAATTAAATTGGAAAGAAGTTACTAATTTGAAAACTAACCCACTTCTACTGAGGTCAAAATTAGTTTGTGGTGCACAGTGATGGGCATGGACATAGCAGATTACCGAGACTGAACTCACAGCCTAGGTAATTGTTATGTTTTATTTTAATTAGGAAACACTTCTGTGCATTCCTTATATTTATTAAACTCCCGTTGAGAAACTTCAACTAATGCGATATGTTGATAGATCCTACCCAATAATAAAACGAAAGGTTTTCAAACAGGAATTCCTATTACACAATGTTGTCTTTACTTTAGGACACATTTCTTCACTTTATTTGAAATTGGCCCAGATGCACTGATTAGAGAGTGTCACTTAAGAAACGACCAGTAAATGAGATCACATGTTTCTGGAGAAGGACATGGCTTTGGGATGCTTTGCAAACTAAGTAGTTTCTCACGTCTCCTGGAAAACAAAACAAAACAAAACAAAACAAAAAAAACATTGAAATGGGCAAGTTAAGAACCTCTTAGAAGCACTTTTGCATCCCATATTCTTGACTAATATAAAGATGGAATTCAGTGCAGAAAAAGAGATAACATGAAAGCTAGAGAGAGTGCTGTACCAGGTCAGTGCGCCAAACCTGTCATCTTAACCTAGTGTACCATCTTATCTGAACCCTCAGGAGGTAAATTTCCTGAGAGATTCAAAGATGTCTTTATAAATTATCAACACTTAGCCCCAGATTTTAGGTTAAAAAATTGGAAAACTCTTGGTTATCTACTTCACCCAAATAATCTGTGTCAGATAATTTCAAATGAATGCTAATTCAATTTCTCTGTTGAACTCTTTTACATGGGATAGCTGAATTGAATACAGTCTTAAATCAACACTTGCGGGAAACTTTAAGACACCTGAGGTTATGTCCTGCTCGTGTGTAAATCAGTTAAAAACAAAATCCTGGAAAATCTGCGAAGTTGGGACTTGCCGAGGAACCCAGGCTCGGGGGCCTTTGGACACTTTTAGGTGGATTTTCTTCAGCTTCCACTCTCCATGGAATTTGAACAAGTTTCATTTACTGTCTGCTGTTTTTGTGAGTGACTTGAAGTAATTCTTTCACAAAAGCCTACAGCCTTTTCAATTGATAAACAGATTTTATGTTTTCAACCTGTGGCATGCTGATGTTTTCATCAGGTAACTGAAGCACACCCACTACAGGAAGCAATTGTTATAAAGCAGTTCTGTAAGGTGTTTCCATTACTCAAATGCCAAACCGCTATTACCTTCAACAATATTCTGCAAATGTTGAAAAAAATGACATTGTTACATTGAATTAATCACAAATTTTAGAACATTTTCTTACATTTATTCTTTAAATTCATAAGCATGGAATGTTTATTTTTCCATTTATTTGTTTTATCTCTGATATTTTTCACCAGTGTTTTGCTGATTTTCTAGTAGAGATATTTCATCTCATTGGCTTAGCTGTGTGTATTCCTAGGTATTCCATTGTCTTGGTGGCTCTTGGGAGAGCATGTTCTTGATCCCACTCTCAGCCAGAATGTTGTTGGTGTGTAGAAATATTACTGTGATTTTCATACATTGATGTCATATCCTGAAACATTCCTAAACTAATGTATCTATACTAGGAGACTTTTGGCAGAGTCTTCAATATTTTCTAGGTATAGAATCTTATCATCAGTGAAAACAGAGGGTTTGCATTTTTCTTTTTCTTTTATTTGGATGGCTTTTATTTCTTTCTCTTGCCTGATCTGGTGAATACTTCCAGTACTATGATGAATAGAAGTGATGAGAGTGGGCATCCTTGTCTTGTTTCTGTTCTTAAGGATAATAGTTCCAGTGTTTGCCCAGTCAGTATGATGTTGGCTGTGCGTTGTCATAGATGGCTCATTAGATTGAGGTGTGCTCCTTCAATGCCTAGACTTTTGAGAGTTTTTATCATGAAGGGTTGTTAGATTTTTTTAAATTTTCTTTTTTTAAATTATTATTATTATACTTTAAGTTCTAGGGTACATGTGCATAACGTGCAGGTTTGTTACATATGTATACTTGTGCCGTGTTGGTGTGCTGCA